TGCCTGTGGCTCAAAGGAGTAGGGTGCTGGCCCCATATGCTGGAGATGGCGGGTTCAAACCCAGCCCCAGCCAAAAACTGCAAAAAAAAAAAAAAGAAGAATTGGTGTAATATTTTAGGTGGGTTCCTCGCCTGCAGCCCCAGTTACTTGGGAGGCTGAGGCAAGAGAATTGCCTAAGCCCAAGAACTAGAGGTTGTTGTGAACTGTGATACCACAGCACTCTACCGAGGGCTACAAAATGAGACTATGTCTTTAAAAAAAATTTTTTTAAATAAAAAAAAGGAAAATAAAAAGTTCCCCAAATTCCAGCATTTTAGATAAGGGATATTCATCTATACCACAGAGATTCCATCATACAAATTAAGTATGTGTTCCATTGTAAGTATGCCTACAGCTCTGCAAAGCTCCCCCATCCTACAGGCCATAGGAACATCAACCAGCTCACCTCAAATGGGTTCAAATTGAAGTAAGAGGAACCAGGACGGGTCAATCTTTCAATTTGATTTTTGGATGTTAGAACCGAGTCTCTCTTCTCTATTTGTTTCACCTAAAATTATGGAAATTAAACACTTCATTAATAAAGCTCAATAGAAAACTCAATTGTCTATCTTAGCACAATACTTAACTGTTAAGTTCAGCAAACATTTACCTATGCATCTACCATGTACAAGATGTTTTGCAGAACACTTTGAAGAATAATTATAATAGCTACCACTCATTGAATTTTAATAATATAAAACTTTACATATATCTGTTAATCTCAACAACACTATATAGTAGATCTTCTATTATCCCCATTTCACAGATAACAAAACTGAGACTTAGACAGATTAACTGACTTGTTCCCAATTACCCAATTTGTTTTTTGTTTTCTGGTTTTTTTTTGAGACAGAGTCTTACTTTGTTGCCCTCGGTAGAGTGCTATGGCATCACAGCTCATAGCAACCTCTAGCTCTAGGACTAGGGCAATTCTCTTGCCTCAGCCTCCCAAGTTGCTGGGACTACTTGCGCCTGCCACAACGCCTGGCTACTTCTTTTGTTGCAGTTGCCACTGCTGTTTTTTTTTTTTTAGTTGGCCAGGGCCGGGTTCAAACCCATCACCCTTGGTATATGGGGCCAGCGCGCTACCCACTGAGCCACAGGCGCCACACCAATTACCCTATTTGTAAGTCAGAATTTTAACCTGAATAGTTTGACTCCAGAGTAGGAATCAAGAAGATTCAAAGATGGCTCAGTGACCGTAGCACAGGGGTTATGGCACCAGCCACATACACTGAGACTTGAGGGTTTGAACCCAGTGCGGGCCAGCTAAACAGTAACACTTGCAACAAAAAACAGCCGGGTGCTGTGGCAGGCGCCTGCGGTCCCAGCTGCTTGGGAGGCTGAGGCAACAGAATTGCTTAAGCCCAGGAGTTTGAGGTTGCTGTGAGCTATGACACCAAGGCACTCAATCCCAGAGCAACTGAGTGAGACTGTTGCTCCCCCCACCTGAAAAATAAATAAATAAATAAATAAATACATGTCATGAGCTCAATAAACATTGGTTAAATAATGACAAAATGAAGGAGCCTTCATTTTGTTTTTATTTTTCCTTTTTGGAGATAGTCTCACTCTGTCACCCAGATTAGAGAGCTATGTTCTCAGTCTACCTCAAACTCCTAGTTCAGCTGGTTAGCCTTCTGCCTCAACTTCCAAGAAAACTGGGACTACAGGTACCTACTACAATTCCCAGCTAATTTTTCTATTTT